TCTGACGACGCGCGCCGCCGTCCTGGCTGTGTCTCGCCCGGCCCCTCGGTCCCCTCCACGCGTGGGGCCACGGTGCTCTGCAGCTTCCGAGGAGCGGACGTGGCGAGGGAGGTGCTGGTCCTTTCTCCCTGGTATCCAGGAACAGGACGCCTGGGAACGGTGCAAAGCTGCACCAGGGGAGGTTCAGACTGGACACGAGGAAGCATTTCTTTACCAAGAGGGTGGTCAGACCCTGGAGCAGCCTTCCTAGAGGCGCGACCGCTGCCCTGAGCCTGTCGGTGTCTAAAAGGCGTTTGGACGATGCTCTTAATACCATGCTTCCACTTTTGGTCAGCCCCGAAGCAGCTGGGCAGTTGGACCAGGTGATCGTTGTAGGTCCCTTCTAACTGAAACCTTCCGTTCTCTTCCACTCCATTCCACTCCAACAGCGCTCTCCAGGAGCTCCTCACGCAGGTGCTGTACAGGTAGCCCAACGCCAAAGGCACCACCGATGCAGCAGCTCTACGAGTCTCCTCCCCGCTCGCTCATCTGACCCCCCCTAGAGGTACGTTACGCCACCAGCCCTGCAGCGAGCCGGCTGCGGGACCAAGACGAGCCACAGAGGTTGGAACCAAAGGGTAACGGCACTAGAAGGAGCAGTGGCCGGAGGCACGCTGCCTCGGAGACAATCAGCATCAGGTCATGAATTTAGCCTCAAGTTAGAGCAAACTGTCTGCTGTGTGACCCTCTGGCACCCGCCTGCCTCGTGGCACCCGGCAGGGCGCAGGGGAAGGTGCCAGCCAGCACACGGCCTGGGCACCTCCTGCTGCTTTTCAACTACTTGGTTAACTTCAGGAAACCAATCCTCTCTTTGAAACAAAGCAAAATCCTTTCACAACCCACCTGCTGCCTCACTGGCCATCAAGGAATACCCTGGCACCACAGATTGCCCTGAAGGTGGCTGGAAGGACACCTGAAGGCGGCTGGAAGGATACCTGAAGGCACCACAGGACGGGGCACCTCCTGCTGCTTTTCAACTACTTGGTTAACTTCAGGAAACCAATCCTCTCTTTGAAACAAAGCAAAATCCTTTCACAACCCACCTGCTGCCTCACTGGCCATCAAGGAATACCCTGGCACCACAGATTGCCCTGAAGGTGGCTGGAAGGACACCTGAAGGCGGCTGGAAGGATACCTGAAGGCACCACAGGACGTGGCACAGCAGCCCCTGACGAACGGCC